AGTAATGTGGCATCGAAGGGGTCAGGTCGGCGATCACAAAGAAGTAGGTCCTAATCGATATCCGGTGCATTGAAATCCCCACCATTAGACAGCAGGTGTGCCCACCATACATCCTCATCGAGCTCAACAAGTGCGCTCCGGGACCCGATGGCGCCCTGTAGACGACACCGATCAAGAGAGATCTGCATCCGTCATGAATACGGCACCAGATGGCTTCGAAATTGTTATCCTGGTCACCGAGAGCTTCAACTAACTGTACTTTGTGACCTGTCTTCCAGTAGAGAAGTACTCCACCACCTGACCTTACCTCGTGGCGATCGGACCAGGAGTGGTGCTATCCAGGGATAGACATTTCCGAGTCCGTGATATCTGAGGATAGCCAGGTTCCGGTGAAGGCCATTAGGTCTGAATGAGTCTGCGAAGTAAGCAACTAAATTTCGTCCAGTTTATTTCTTAGCCTGTGTATATTGACAGATAGCACGCGTAGTCCGTTGTTATGCTTTACTGTCTGGGGTGACAAGATTCGGCCTTCAGCGCACTCTTGTGTTCTTCCGAACTACGCAAAAATTCACGATATGTAGATTGGTTTCACCACTCGCCCGGCGCGTTCGGAGCTCCCTTACAGCCTTTTTCAGTTCAATTCTTTCCTCGAGACAGAGGTCTCGTAACACGTAGAAAGGTTCACCTTTGAGACCTGGAGTCCGTCGACGGCTGCGCGCAAAACACTTCCTCCTTTCCGCATACAATCCTGAGGGGTCGAAACTTGGAGGAATTTTCCTGCTTTTTACGGAGACGGAAGGCAGAGACAATGTTTATTCCCTGTTCTCCCTCATCAAACAGCAGAGAAATCATCCACCCGAGCAGTATCTGATCATCCAGCATTCGCTCCGCCGACGTAGCCTTGTCCGATTCCGCCGCGTTCATGATGATGAGACAGCGGTCACGAGATGGCTGAAAGCGCTCTGGGGTTGATGGCTTACGAGATGATGGATTTTCCTTTATCACTTTTGCAGCTCACAAATTCTGTTGAGAATTATCTTCATTTGTGACTGAGAAGAGAGGAGCTCAGGTTTATTTAAAGACTTAGTCTTAGTCTTGGTGACGCATGTGGCTGAACCTTGGCCACACGAGGCCAAGGTCGCTTTCTCCTTCACTACGACAGCATATGACTTTGTCAAAGGCTCGAAGGGCCGGATGTATGTCAATGGGTCTGCATGAGCAGTAGTCGGGGCGGGGGTGGTCGCGACTTTTGGAGCGTCGCTGGAAGATGTGTTGCTCCGCTTTCTGGCACGTCTAGTAGAAGGAGCGGAAGAACGTCTTTCAGGGTGTTGAGGTGGCGGATGTCCTACCAACGCAGCGGCATCGATGCAACATCGACAAATCCATAGCAAACTCTTGTGCTCAGCATACATCTTGAAGAGCGGTTCAGTAAGTTGCGAGCAACGCTTTTGGCCCCATGCCCAGAGTTTGCAGTCAATGCACTGGATACCGTTAGTCACCACTCCCGCACAATGCAAACATTGTGGGTTAGACATAAGCACTTGATCTCAGAGAAAATTTGCGAATGGTGAAATTTTGTCACGAGTGTTTCGTCAAACACTGGGTTTCGCGATATTTCACCTAAAAAACTCGATCAGTATGGCACGCCAAAAATCGAGTTACAACGTAGCACACACAGGTCGCTGATATTTGACTCATTGAAAAAAGAACTGAAAAGTTAGGTTAAGCCAGCTAGGAAAAAGGAAAGTTTCGCTATTGCCACCCAAGAGCATCGAGCTGGCGCGCAAAACCATTTACCATAGGTTCCCTAACCACGTGATCTGGAAGCGAATTCCAGTGATCTATAACTCAGCGCGACAGACGAGTTTTCGTCCTAATCCTATTAGACCGTGGTTTATGCAGTTTCAGTGGGTGACCGCGGAGATTAAGTAGCGTAGTGTGGCTAAATAGCTCTGACAAGTTCGGACCAATTTTACCCGTCAAAATACGATAAGGGAGAATCAAGTCCCCTCTTATCCTTCGATAGTGTATTGAGTACATCCTCAAACTGAGCAAGTGTTCAGGATACGTTTGTCCCCGTAGACCCTGTACTAACCGAGTGCCCACTCGTAGCACTCACCAAAACGCTTTGTGTCAACAGATGTACAGGAAGTAAAACAAATGGACGTTTTGAAGGATAAAACAACCGTAAAATCCAATGTTGCAATATATTGAAAGTGTGTTTTCCGGTACACTAGAGACGTCCATCCGAATTCTGTCTTCTACTTTAACAGTTTCCATGTGTGACCTCGTGTGGAACAGTCAGTGTTGGGCCGGAAGAACTGTTGTAATTCACTTCCAAATACACCTCGGAGGATGCGCCTAGTGTAGATGAGATCGTCCCGGCGACGGCCGAGCTCGATGTAAAACAGATTTAGCTGCTCGAGTCGGCTGGGGTACTGGAAATCACGAAGCCCTAGAACAGCTTTCGATGCACGTCTCTGAAGCTTTTCCAGCAGAGGGTATTCAAACTTTGGAAGCGGATGGATAGACCATAGGCCGTATTCTAAGACTGGACGGGCGAACAAGGTGAACAAAGGTCGAAAAATCTCAGGGGTCCTTCGAGCGAATAATCTTCTTAAGGCACCCGACAGTCCCTTTTCAGTGGCCACGTTCGTCAATATGTCGTGCGTTGTCCTAATGCCAGAAGTCACGACAACCTCGAGATCTCTTTCGTGAGTGGTATCCTGAGGAGAAACCCACCCATGTGGTATGCACCGTACGGTTCAGTGTTACCCATTGGTAACACAGCGCATTTATCTCGGTTTACTGGCCGTTCCCACTTGATGGACCATTCCTGCAGCTGGTCTAGAGCCCCTTGTAATCTATCCGCATCCTCAATGCTGGATACCGTTGACCATATCTTGAGGTCATCGGCGTAGATCAATCAGTCGGTTTGAAGTGCACTCGGCAGATGGTTAAGGTACAGTTTGAAGAGCTCTGGTCCAAGCACTGATCCGTGGGTATTGCCAATAGACATATGCGCTGGAACAGAGAGGGTATGTTTCGTTTATAAGCGCATTGTCCTACCTCGTAAGAGATCTGCAATCTAGGAGAGAAGGTTTCCTGTAAAGCCAATTCCATGGAGTTTATGTAGCAGTCGTACGTGTGGAACCTTATCAAAGGCTTTGCTGAAGTCAATGAATATTACGTCAATCAGTTTTAGGGTATCTATGACTTCTGTCCATAGTTCCCTGGCGATGAGTAAAGCAGTGATGCATGAGCGTGCTCTCCGGAAAACATGTTGTGCAGGTGAGGTGGGGTTTAGTTTCACACAGTGTAGCTGGATGGCGCACTTGACTATTCGTTCCATTATTTTGCAAACGACTGATGTCAGACATATTGGCTGGTAGTTGGCTGGATCTTGTTGGTTTCCCCTTTGTATTTGGGCAGGACGGTACCTGGTTTCCAGCGTGTGGGTAGGCAGCCAACTCCGAGGGATTGCAAAACACCTGGCAGAACGGGGTGGCGATGTACACAGCTATCGTTTTGAGGAAGCTGGTATGCAATCCATGTGCGCCTAGGGTAATGTTCGTGTCCAGTTCGAGGTGTAGCTTAGTGAATACTTCGGGGTTAATTTCAACTTGGTCCAGAGAGGAGTATTGTGCTAGCAAACAGTTGTTGAGCAGCGTTGACCACTGAGTAGTGCGAGGAATATTGCGCGGCCAATAAATTTGCTTTTTCATCATCACCGTAGAGAATAGTACCTTCCTTAGAAGAGGATAGAGTGGGGATTCTACTACCATTTCTGGCATTTCAATTCAAGTAGGCAAAAGTTTCTTGGGACACTTTTGGTATTCCATGGCCAGTACATGTTCATATTGTAGACCTACGTCTCGTTTTCTCAGGGTGCATAGCTTTATGACAGCTTTGTACTCTAAGTAGCTTAATGTCAGTCCTGTGCTCTTGAAATGATCGCGTAGTTTTCGTCGTTTTCATCAGGAATCTCACTTCTTTATCAATCCATGAGGGTCCTATGGGTGGTGGTCTACTTTTGGAGTGTGAGACAGACTGTTCAATGAGCCGCATCATCATAGGTCCCAGGCGTTCCCACGCGCCATCAACCTCCAAGGACTGCTGATTACTTCAGTCCATGTTACTTGCAACCCTTCTTAATCTGGGCTAGTCAGTGCGCCAGAAATTTCGACGCAGTGTCCCCTGATCGTAGAATGTGAGGCGTCGTGTCCGAGAAAAAGAAATTTTGCTGTGCTCACTCTTCCCAAGCGTTTGGAGGATTGTTAGCTATGCGACATCAGATGGGGCCGACGTGAGAACTGAGTTTAGAATATTTTGTATCTGACCAGGGACCATGCGTGTTGGTATCAAGACATGCTGTGTCAGGTTGCTGTCGTGAACGTTATCAAGGCGATCAACTTCAAAGGAGTCGGTGAGAGATCACGGTGAGCAGGTCCCAGATTATGCCAGGGGCGTTGAAGTCACCCATAAGCAGACAGTTTGTTTTGCTGCTGTTGGTTTGCACGAAGTGTAATAGGTGTGCGCCAGCTCCTGCAGGGGTACTGTAGACCACTCCGACCATCAGCGATTGGTATCCGTCACAAATTCGACACCAGAGCATTTCCGACATATCATCCTTGTCATAATCGGTTTCGACAATGTGGGCCTTGAGGCAGTTCTTTGCGTGGTGGATTACTCCGCCTCCAGAGCTCCCATCAAATCAATCGCTTCGAAGTAGCTGGTATCCTGAAACATGAAACTCCGAGTCAGACATATCAGATGACAGCCAGGTTTCGGTGAACGCCCTTAGGTCCGGTTTCTGTTCAGTTGTGCGCTATTAGTATTATGGGGACGTGTGTCCTGCTGTGTTGGTCTGTGATTCTCGTAGTATCAACATGGAGAACGGTCTTTTGTTGTGAGGGGCGTGATCAGGTCGAGATTAAGGAAGTGAAAAATCTCATCCTAGCTGTTTCTGAATCTTGGCGCTACTTTCGCGGAGTTTTGTCTCATGTTCGTGTTTTTATGTTTGTAGTTGAGGTTATGGTAATGAAGGTAAGATTGGCTTCCATCGAGCTCTGGTGATATGTTGGGGACGTGTCATTTTTCATATTTTGTGGTGTAATTGTCGTGACGACATTTTCGCGAGATGTATGTTCGCTGGCTGCTCGGCTGGACAGCTTGTTTTTCCAATTCGGACTCGGTCCTCCGGGAAGAAAAATGACTTTCATAAACCCCCCCCCCCCCCCCCCCCCCCCCCCCCCCCCCCCCCCCCCCCCCCCCCCCCCCCCCCCCCCCCCCCCCCCCCCCCCCCCCCCCCCCCCCCCCCCACCCCCCCCCCACCCTCCCCCCCCCCCCCCCCCCCCCCCCCCCCCCCCCCCCCTCCCCCCCCCCCCCCCCCCCCCCCCCCTCCCCCCCCCCCCCTCCCTCCCCCCCCCCCCCCCCCCCCCCCCCCCCCTCCCCCCCCCCCCCCCCCCCCCCACCACCCCCCCCCCCCACCCCCCACCGGGGGGCATTCGTTATTAGTTGGGCAGGGAACTACGTAGAAATTTATCTGCACTTGGTTGAGATAGCGTGGGGGCGCGGGTCAGGTAGGAGTGGGGTTGGGGTGGTGGGATTTTTCCGGTTCAGACATATGCCTTTGATGGGCATTTATTGTCATTCATCGGGTCAGGATAGACGAATTTTCAGTAGACATAAAAATTGGGGCCTCTCGGTCATTCTTGGTTTCTTACCTAGGCGAAAACAAGCTAGAAAAAAGTTTTGGTTTTATTCTTTGCTCACCCTCATCCAAAACAATTTGATGACCTTTTCGTGGTGGGAAAAGTAGGCTTTGGTCGGCGGGCTGCCTGGTATAGCAGCTGGATGTTTTCTGTTTGCATTCTGGGGATTGCTTGTCTTTTCGTTTTTGTGATTATCAGGGGGGCAGCGGTTTTTTTTTTGCGAGCATTCGTGCTTGTTTGGTTTCCGGTTGGGTGTTTGTTAGTGGTGATGTGGAGTAATTTTGTAGTTGCAATTTCTTTTTCTCTGATAAGTTCAACAAGCTTCATTACTATATTACAAGACCTGCCTTTAGTTCCAATATTTTTTGGATTTTTGATTTTTAGCCTCTTAGGTGTCAGTGGAGAGAATTCTTCTTCGTGCCTTATTATAAGCTCTGCTTGTCCTGCTTTTGCTGAGGTGTTAGTCTAGCGCTACGACTGCGTGCAATAGGAGTGGGCTTCTTTATTAGGGCATCAGCCATGCCCGTTTCTTTCTTACTGGTGTCGGCAAACGGAATGTGGTTGAGTTAGTGGCGATTTACCTTGAACGTTAATTACAAATGGTGGAGTTACGCACCGGCTTCGAATTCCCTTTGTGGATATGTATGCTGGTTTTGTATTTGGCCTGATGTTTGGTGAGGAATGTTACGTACTACGTTGTTAAAGTTAGTTACGGATGTCTTATTAAATGTAGGTTTGATTTGGGTAGTGTGTGCACCACCCCAAGTTGTGGCTTGTTGTGGTGTGTGAACTTAAAATATGGTTGCTTCGGGGACACGACTTGCAGGTTCACTGTATTTCTGTCGTTGTATAGGGGGTTTATTAGGGCACTGGGTGAGTGTTTGTTTATGTTATAATGCGCAACGAAGGGTGAGCTGTTGGGCCTGTTTGTTCTAGATTTAGATTGGGAGATGGGAACACTTGATAGTTTTTGGTTTGTCGTGTGGGATTGATTACTGTTGCTTTCCGGCGCTACCTTTTGCAAGTTATAGTAGATTATAAAAGGCATTTGATGAATTTTGAAAGAAGTTTTGAGGCCCGTTTCATAGCTAGACGGCGACAAGTTTTATTTACAGATCGGTGTACTTGAATACTGACGTGTATATGAAAGTTGATTAGCCTAAAGAGCAAGCATACCCGAAGGATGTGCTGTGGAAGGTAAATTGGGTACATTTTGTCGTTGTGTCCTTTGCAACTATGGAAAGGTGTGTTTGGTTAGTGCAAGTCGTGAGAGGGATATGGCTCAGTACGGTGATGATCGTGCAAGATACCTCGAATACGTTGTGTTATGTTGCATCATTCTTGGTTGGCATGAGATTTATGTGCAACCTACGGGTGTGGGTTTTGTGTAATATCTAGATTTGTCCTTCCAGTGCGTAAAAGCGTAGTTTTTTGTTACTTTTTATAAATAAATTATTAGCTATTTTCTCGGATTTAGTCGAGAATCACACCCCCAAATAACAGGACATGATACAACATTTTTATGGTCTGTTACTTTGGTGCGCTTTTACATAATCGTTTGCTTTGTTGTGGTAATTCAGGGCTAGTTTTAGCACCATAGTTCGGTTGTGTTTCAGGCCCTTTTGGGAAAATTTGTAATTATTTTAAGTGTATTCTTTGATAAGGGGCGAATATTATTGCAGTCAATGCCATGACGGATTATTTGGATGGTCTTCGGCTCTCGTGTTGTGTGGTGTTCTTGCACGTAAAAGCGTAAAAACTCTCTGGGCAATTTTCACCCATGTGTTAGTGGGTTAACGATGGACTTGAAGTCTCGGGGAATAGTTTACTCTCCTCTTGAAGTGTCAGGTTAATATCTAAATTATGATTATAGCCTGAGCAATCAACCCCCCCTCCCCCCAATAACCCCCCCCCCCCCCCCCCCCCCCCCCCCCCCCTCCTCCCCCCACCACTCATTCCCCTCCACTCCCCATCATCATTCCACACACACCTTTCCCCCCCTCTCCCCTCCCATCCTCTCCCCATATCTATAACACCAGGGGCGTCTGGTAGGGGGGATTGGTTTGTCATATTTGTTCTTAGACAATCCTTATGTGGTAAGGTGGTTCCGATTTTTACATCTAGGGTCTTGATTGGATGGTGTTGTGGGGGGGATTGAGGACAATTTGTTGGGTAACGTTCAGTGGCGGTTTTTCTTGATAGTATACTTCGCCTCGTACGGCGTTTTAAGATACATGTGGCAGAAGGTGGTGGGTTGTTTGTTAGAGAGGTGACAATTGGGAATTTACCCACCACGTCCTCTTCTTTTGTCCTTAATTATGAGTGTGGTGTAAATCAACGGTCTAACAGTATCCGTTTGTTTGGGGTTTCGACAGTTATTGAAGAATTCTATGGATGGCAATGTTTGTATTAGGGAAGGATATTATTAGGGTTTGTGAAGCATTTTTAAGGTTCTTTTTTTCCGAAATACGGGGTTTCATCCATCGGTTTTAATCCGCAGTCCGGAAAATAAACTTCCAATTTTACTGCTAAGTTAGTTGATCACTTCGTTTGTTTTTGATCGTTCACATAATTTCATATAGGTCAGGACGGTGGTGATGCCGGTGCGTGGGAGTCTTTGGGGCTTGGAAATATAGGTTGGTTGGTCGGTGGGGGGATATAAACCATTGAATTTCGCCAGCGTACGTTCATACAAGAAAATTCGTAGATACATAGGAAAAAATAGTATATTGGTCGTGGCAGGGGGGCTAATCGACAGTTGCAGAATCGACGAATTATATGCTATGGTTGTCCCTCTATTATACACGGTTTTAGCAGGGATCTGTTGATATGAAATTCTGAGGAGTGAGTGTATTGGTATTTCGTTAGGCTATTCACTGTATGGAGAGGTTTTAGGTGTGGTCTTGTGATGGGGGAAGTTTCAGTCTGAGGTCTCTCGGTGGTTTGGCTATCCTTGGGATCTAACTTAATTTTATGAATTCGGACCCATAATCCCAATACAAGGGGGTTCAGATCGGCAGGCTACACGTTGTGATGTGGTAATGAAAATTTGACCTAGACGTGATTCCTGGTACGGGAAACTATTAATGTGATCCGTTGGCTTCTTTTTCGTACTGATCTAGGTGGGTTTTGGGTCATACATTTACCACCCTCCATAGTTCACAGAGTTTTCTTTTGGTCCCATGTTACCTCCAAGCATTGTGTATGTTAAACTTCACCGCAACCTATGTCATCTGTTAAAAATTGCTCTGAAGCACGCTCTCGTGTTTTGAGCATCGATGTCGGGATTCTCGTCAGAACTGCCACTGTCCTTCGCGAGTTGCATTAATCCTTCTGTCTGGGGAAATACTTACTTAACTAGGCCCGTTAACATCATGCAAGGGCATTCCTAACTGACTGTTTTTCTTTGTGAAGTGGCGTTGTATCGGTGGGCTTGTTGTTGTTATCACGGAGCAAGAGCATGTTCGTCGTTCACGAGTGATGTGTCTTACTTGGATTTTAAGCTGTCCTTGAGTCCTTTATGGTAGGGGTGCATCTTTTGTGGGTTTGAGTTCGTGTAAGTCATGTATATAGCGTAATACTGCGCTTGGTTCGCCGTTGGAATACCTCAGACTTGAGCTGGATTATTTGGAGCCATCCATAAATTCTCAAAACGGTTACTAATCGTCGAATTACGGTAAGCTAAAGGGCCTACTCAATAATGTAACCCCAGTAATGAATACATTGTAATCGACTTAATTATCTTTAGAAAAGCGAATCATAAAGTTTACAGCTTGTCACGCCACAATTTCTGAGGGAGTGATTGATCCCCCACGCAGCTGATTCGACCCGAACCCGTAACCGTCGATCAGTACTGTATCTCCACATAAGGTCTCCCGAACATCTATGTCTACTATTCACGGCTTGGTTGTTTAGCTGTAAATGTTAACTATTTTGGTGAAGATTGCACTCCGCGTCATGTGCATCGTGGAACATGACAAATCAACTAGCAAACCTAAGACGTTAAAGGAAAAATACTAGGGCTTCTCTTTGACTGTTCCACCGTAAATCAGTTGGACCTTCTTTTTATGTACCAGATTGATGCCACGTGGGTGGGTACCTTATGCTGTCTTACAGAGCATTATACGGGTTGAATAGAAACGTATTCCCTTTGTGTATTTTAAAAGTCATCATATTATCTGTTCCTCGCCTAGCCTCTTCTAACGTTGGTGTTGCCAGTTTGTATTTAATATGTTTTTTTGTTGTTTGGCTAGAGTAGATAACCAAACTCTACCAGACTATCGTAAGTGTTTGGATTTAACAGGGGGTCGTGAAATCTTCCATTCTGGTGGTGTTTGTTTGGATGTCCTAGAGGATCGTTATTTTTCACAGATGAAGCCATACATGTCTCACAAGATTCCTGTAGGAGCTATCCTGTTGTTAGCACTCTCTATGCAGTGTGAGTATACATTTGGATGTTTTTTATTAGTATAATTTAAGTTCTCATTTTTTTTGGGGATGATAACGGTTGAAATCGTATTATATAGCTCCGATACGTCATCTGTTAATGAACGCCGCTATCTCCTGTCGGAATATCATAGATGTGATCGTCTTCACGCTGAGTCGTTTCTTTGTATGAAGTGAGAGGATCAACCGACTTGGGAATTTATGGTTACCCAACGTGATCGGTTATGTCGCAGAGTGATCGCTATCTGGTTTTTCGTTTTGGTATGCATGGATATTTTAGGCAACAATTGAGGCTTCCATCTCTTAAGTAGGCGCGTATGATAACACCCCGCTAAGTTGTTTGTACCAAATGCAGAGGAATACTCTTGAGTGGGGGGACAGTCGGAAGAGAGTGACCTGTTTGTGGAAGTACGAATGCGGTTAGTGGTTGTCATATCTCTCTTGTGTTGATTGTAAGCGGGCGAGACGAGATTAATCTAGTAAAATGTTTGACTTCTTATTTTTGTGTTGCGCCGCTTGGGTTGCGATGTGGTTGTGATATAGGATCTGAATCAGCGCTTAGTCGTGTAAAGTATTGGTACAAGGATAGTGTCAGTCTAACAGCTTTTCCAGAACTGACTACTTCAAGGCGTTGTATTGCAACTGTTCCGTATCATAACAAATACTTTTTTTGTCCTCTGCGGATTACTACATCAGCAGTAATGAAGAGAGGAAATGTAGTGTAGACCAATGTATCCGACAGTATCTTGGTTTCATGTGAGGTACAACGGTTAAATCACCGACAACCGCTGGGTGGCACGAGGGACATAGCTTCTCTCTTCCTTCGCTGCGGTGAGTAGCATTTAACACCACAATGGATAGTCGTAGGACGGGCTAGTGAATGTGTTTACGGTTGCCATAAAGGAATTAGGTGTATGTTATCCCTTACAGTGAAGTAGGATTTGCACTAAATCCGGGGAGGGAGTCTGATTCATAAGGTCCTCGCAGATATCATGAATTGTGACCCTCATCGGCATTTTGTGCAATATAAACGACGGGTTACAATGTAGAGTTATGAAATCGACGTTTATACATGGATTTATTACGTTGCTTGGCTATTCGGTCTAATGTGTGCGTCATGGTCTATTAGTTAGCATCCTCTAAAATGGACGTTATACACGAAGTCGACCAATCCGAAGCCGATCTTATTTCTCATGTTACCCATAATTCTCCAACAGACTGGTTTTGGGTTGACTTACGTCGACCACTGCGATTATTACTCACAATATAACCTGAATTTTTGTGTGTACCCTGTGTTGGGCTCAATGTTAATATACTCTCCGGCTCAATGATTTAATATCCATTAAATCATATCTTATTAGGCTGCACCTGCTTTGATCCCAGCTAGAAATCACTAAGGTAGTATTCCGTGATAATTTTAATTTTCGTACGTAGAGTTCCGCATACTGTGTGGGTCCAAACAGCCGATTGTCTGACCAATCGCATGGCGGAATTCTTGGAGATTAAACAAAGTGCTCTCCGAATACAAGTGCTCATATGGTTAGCATAAGGAATGTACTTTCGCTGTCAGCCACACTTGTG